GAGCTCGGCTTACCTTAAGGTGTTATAAAAACGTAGCAACTTTGTTTGTTTGAACCTGGCTTTGGTGATATCAATAAAATAGATAAGGCTCTTGTCTAGTTCAATAAAACACTTTTTCTTCGTAGTTATCCTTGGTTTGCTTGACATATCTTTGACAAGAGCTTGTTTCTGTTGCTTAATAACAAAAAAGACTAACTACATTTTTATTCAATTGTAATAAATAAATAAACACTCGCGACATTGTTAACATTTTATAATTATATGCAAATGTAAATAAACATGACATTCTTTCAATGCTGGAGTTTGCAGCTTGAGAAACCAGGGCCAGTCTTCGCGTTGTGCGGATATATCTTACGATGTAATAAAGTGAAGCCATCTTTTTCTGATGTTCTTTTTATTATAGTATCCGTAACTAGTGGGTAAAATATATCAAGTTCCCGACTCTATTTGTATTTGTATTGAAGCTATTGTTGAAATTTCAATGACATAAAAATTAGAGTAGACGGGCAGGTAGCAAAGCTATTCCGGTCATTCGACAATGTCTATACACATATACAATCATAGTTGTTATTGAATTCTGGATTCGCTTGCGACAGACAGAGATTGAAGAAGCTTTAAAAGAACCAAGATTCGAAAATGCTGTTCTCTCTAAGTCATTCGCAAACTTACTGTAGATACCAGTATAGGAATTAGCAGAAAGATTTATCTGTAAGCTCGGTTCCTACGTAGGAATAAACAAAAAACAGCCGATTAGGGTGACTGGAAGATCTGACAACGTAACAAGCAAAGGATAAGGAGGCGAAAGCAAAGAAGTAACACATAGAGGACGACATGTAGAGAAAGAGGAGCAAATTTGAAAACTTTGAACAAATATTTATTATCAACTATGTTGGCTGTCCGTCCATTAGCTTCTTGCAATAATTGATCTGCTGGCACTTGATATTTAACTAATGCCCCATTGTTGCATGTTTGCACGAGATGTTGGTGATGGGTATCCAAAATTCGTTGAATGGCGACTATAACTTTCGTACTGTTGCTCTTTATGTTAAAACAAACTTAAGAGTAACACTTACCAGATGTTGCTCTTCTGCAATACAAATATTAAATAATAACATAAATCATTACGTCGTCTGTGATAGAAGAGACAAGGTCGGAATATATTAAGTGTTTTATTACATATGTAATTCTGTGAACCTCTGGGTCATATATCTGGGAATTTATTCAATTTTTTTTCAAAAAACAAAAACTTTCCTCTGTTCCATAAACATGTTTTTAAGATGCGATTTTCTTAAATACTACTCAGTACTCATGAGTGAAATACACTCATGAGTTTTGACTGACTCATTTAATGTTACTCGTATGTCATTTGTAAATGGTTTTCAATTAACAAAGTATGACAATTTTGTTTAAAAGGCAAAAAAGGCACAAAAAAAGGTTATCGTATAATGAAAGCATGCAAAAAAATGCGTATGTGTTATAGTTTTATAGCAAAGAATTTTTTAAGTATTATCCAAAAGCAAAGAAAAATCAAAGCAAGAAATAAATGAAAGAAATTAATGAAAATTTTAAAAATCTCATAGGTTTCCTTTATCGTTCCTGCCTGTTTTTTGAAAAGAAAAACAGGAAGCAATGATCACTATAGCCGCATAGCATAAAGTATGTGCAGATTCACAGATACAGATACAAGATACAAAGCAGAGGCATATTGATAGACAGTCTGGCAGTCAAAACAAACCAGTCAAACTTTACACACTTGCAAAATAAACACAACTACAAACAAAGTCGTATGGATGTGTACTCAAGCGAAAGACAACACTTTTCCCTTTTACTCCGGCAAGTTTTTTTTTTGTGCGTCGATGTCGGCTTTTCTAAATTCTTTTTTCTTTTTTTTTTTTTTTTTCATAAATAATCTTATTGAATGCACGCGGGACTAGTGCAGTAGAGTGTTGTGGGTGTCATAAGCAAGACGGTATTTAGCATTTATATCTGCTTAGTTCGCTATAGTAGAAGTGTGTTAGTTTCGGCGATAACATGTAGATCTCTGGATCATAACGCCACATACAAGAAAATTACAAACCACATTAATTTTTAATCATTGCATTCCAGACCTTTGCATGAAGAACGTAGTTTGAACGAGTATAGCCTGCTTCCTGAATATGGGGCATATTGTTGAAATGAAGCAAGACGTAAAATAAAAAAACTCCTCTTAGACAATAGGAAATTGTGAAAAATTTCAATTTTATTTATATACGAATGGCACTAAAGGCCTAAAAACGTATGACTCCGCAGTGCTGATGACACACATTTGATTGCATAGTATTTTTTGTCTGTGTAACTCCAAAAAACAAAACAAAAAATAAAACAAAATATGTGCGCGAGTTTCCTACTATTGTTATAAATAGCGTTAATTAAATGATAATTTATTGGTGAATGCGTGCGTTTTTCTTGTTTCTTTTACTAGCAATAGAAACATATAAACAACGAATAAAATGATTTAAAACAAGTTGTTAAAATTCAAATTAAAAAAAAAAAAAAACTTGTTTCTTAACTTAAAAGATTTACCAAGAAATCAATTACGTAAAGTAACTAATTAAAATAAAAGAATAGACCTAAAGACGCTCACGTGAAGTGCGAAAATCTAATCTACTGCACGTATCACACAGAAAGCAACGACGCGAAAAAAACGACCTTCAGCATTACTTAGCCTACGTTAATGTTCCTCTTAATGGTATTACTTCACTTCAGCATCGGCTAAAACATATATAAAAAACAAGTAAGAATAGCTTTTCATAGCATGGACATATCATGGAATACCTACCTATTACCCTTAATAAGTCCTAATATTCATGTAGCGGAAGCATAAACGACCTTGATAGACATTACCTTTTAGGTGCTTTTTATAGATTTTTTATATCCGCCACCGAAAGTTAGGATGATATTCATTTTTGTCATTTGTACACCACGCTTACGTGAAAGATTCAAGAGCCCATACGAAGTGTACATACGAATCGATTTAAACATGTCCATCTGTCTGGTTGCAAAAGCTATGATATCGTCTTCAAATTTGGCCAAAACATTAAAAGCGGGTCAAATCACCCGAAGACTGCGCCTAATTTCAATTAATACCTTTTTTGTTCACCAATGAATTTGAGCAGATGCGCAATAAAAATTTTAAAGCGTTTTTTAGATTAATAGAAATATCAATATCTGTTTTAGCCGAATGTAACTTTCCTCCTCACTTCGATTATTCAGCTATTGGAGGGTGCTATTGGGATGTGCGGATTAAGTATCCTCTTAAACTTCAGGAGTGATTTGTTCATCAAAAACATGTACGCGCAAGATCTTAAGTTTCTATCTTAATTCTTGTAAAGTTAAGAAATGCAGCAACAGAGACCGAAAAGACGGACAAGCATAGCTAATTGGGCTGAGGATGTGAATGAAAGCGAGCGAGCATATGCCCATCTGCGGACGATGATGATAAGCGCAGCAAATAGTTCATTCAATGTACAATGATGTAGTAATAGTTCTTCATTGGTAGAGTTGGTTCTGGTTCTTCATCGAGCAATCGCTTGAAAGTCGCTTACATTCATTCACAATTCATTTCTAAACATTGGATTTGGAAATTTGCATTAACGGAAACTAACCTCAAAAAAAAAATCGTTTACAACTTACTACTATAGAAAATTTCCATTAGAAATTCAATGTGAAAATTTTGTCACGCATTAGAGGCTTAGAAGCTTAGGCTGAAAGTCATACGGAATTAACTTCAGGGAGAAAACATTTGTTTTTTTGATTGGTATTTGTTTTGGCGCGAAAGTGAAGTACATTCCATAACCGATGCGAGCCAATGAATCAAAGTCTTATTATTGTTAATCCCCTACACTGCAAATGCAACGTCAATGCACAAAAGACAAAGTTTTATTTGATATCTGTCGGCTGTTGTCTCAATTTGTCCTGATTGTTTGGTTTCTTGTGTTCACAGTGCAGTTTTACGCAGTTTTTCGCAGTTTTTTTATTTATTTTATTAAATTTTCCTTTTTTGGTCTTAAGACCCTTTAACAAAATGTCTTCTTTTCTGTCTGTTGCCTGTCATATTTGTCTGTCTAGTATTTAAATATTTTTATAAACATTAAACATATGCGATTAAAGATGCCTCGCTTTATATAACACACTGTGGCGCGGTGCAATGGTGCCTCCAAAAACTCCGAAACAATTAAAATAATATTGCAAGAATGGCAGGAGTTAAAAATAAATTTTAAATGCATCATCCATTTCTGGGTGGAGATTGTGAAGACGCGGCAAATATTCCCAGCATTGAATGCGTGCACAAAAATTTGCTCATTTGTTAGCACAACGAGGGGGAGAAGACATTGAAAGGGTGTAAAAATGTGCGATTCTTTCTTGCATGCAATTCTTCTGTAACAATATACGCACATGCCGGCACGTACACGCAGTTAGAAGATAAAAACAATCGCATAAAAGTAGACCTTGTGGTTGCCAGTAGAGAGAGAGAAGTCCTTGAAAACTATTTGTAGTTTTTTAGGCGAACACTTAGATTACTTTGAAATATTGCCTTTAATATATGATCGCATATAGTGTCGGTCTTGGCCCCTTATCTGGTCTTTATATAAATAAATAATATATATATATATATATATATATATATATATCTACTCTCTACAATTACAGTACATATATATACATATGTATTGTTTTGGCTGAAAATCAACTCAAATTATATCACAAACAAACAAACGATTCGTAAAGACATATGCTACGCTATCTGATATCTTAGATGGCATAGTGAAATGCTTTCATTCTATATTAAATCCTGGTTAAGCAAACATTTGGTTTTCCCATAAACGTACAAACCTCTAAACACACATACATATGTATGTGTAATCGGTTCGCTTACCGTACATATGTGCTTGCCAGCGTACAACCACCAGGATCACCTTATAATTTATGCGTTGCTTTGGTTTGCTTGGTTTTTTTTTCAGACAACTGCGGCACGATGAGCAACAGCATGACCAGCTCTACAAATTCGTACAATATGGATGACATTTTAATAGTGACTGCCAAGCATAGCGAACGTGCTATATTAAGGGCGAACTTTTTGAAAAATCACTTCGATAAAATCACCAAACAGCGTGGACGCAAACCTTTCAAGTAAGTTTTCAATTTAAATAAATGAAATTTTTTATTAAAATATTTAATTCAAATAAAAAAATTGTTGTTAGCTTCTTGCACATTAAAATCGAGGATGGTCCATTTAGTGAGCAAATCGCAAGTAAATACCAAAACACTGCCTTACAAATTGTAATACTCTGTCCGGCTCTATTGGCCCTATCGCATTCACTGCTTATGTCCCAGCTATCGGCTATAGTACGAGTTGAAAAAGTGCTGGGCATTCTCTTAGATGTTGCTGACGAGAAAGTTAAAGAAGTTCATAAAACAGGTACAAGTCTTGTTAAATATTTTCCGCTTAACCTCGAACAAAAACTGTTTTTGCCCTTTCTTAGCTCTGCCTAATTATCTACGATGGCGCCGTTGTGCCATTCGTGACAACGACCAAGCACAGATCAGTAACATATTGGGCATTGCTACTGACATCCTGGGTCGCGCCTTGTGTCAACGCCCCGTTTGCAATGAAAGTGCCGGCAACATATCGCGTAGTGTTTCGAGTTGTTCAGACGGTTTCACTATTTTGCCAAGGAAAGTTAAAATTGGCCAAAATAAAGTAGTTGCAATGCTTAACGAGCCTTTGGAAAGAGACGACATCTTGAAAATTACCGTTGAAAAATCGGGCGAATTAATCGAGTTACGCAACTTCAAATGCCGCAATCCATATACGGTGCAATTTGCTATACCAGGTAATTAAAAAACACGACCACTTATCGAACGATGACAGAACATTTACGTTTCTTCCTCGTGTGTTTCTCTGTGTTTTTTTTCGATTTAGAGTCATGCATGGAAATTTCAACAATGATTGAAATACGTATTGAGAAGAATGATAAGAATCTTGGTGCAAGACCCATTAAATGCGAATCACGACTGCGAGAGTTGGAGCAGTTATTACGCGCTGAGAATTCACCGATTGAGTTTATGTGCCATGCACTAGGAATTGGACCGATAGAACGCGATGACTTGGATTTACATCTTTTGCAATGTTTTCAAAAGAATATGCCACCAAATTTTCATTTACTCAACGGCCCGTACGAGAAACAACATCAACATCAACAACAACGACATCATCACTTATTGTCAATGCGTGAAACAAGCCCCGAAGAATATCCAACACTACTGCATTTTGCCGCTCGCTGGGGATTGACCCGTTTGTGCATGCAGCTGCTTGAATGTCCGGGTGGTGATACCGCCTGCGGAGTACGTAATTGCTCTGGTAAAACGCCAGCCGAATTGGCCGAATCTGAGGGGCATCATAAGCTGGCTCGTAATATAATGAGTTTTTCGGAGTTTCATGAATTAACCACCATGTACCATTACTTCAAAGGCATTACAATCAATAATGATAGCAAGAATAATCAAAATTCCGGTGGTAATAAGTGTCATAATGCCAAAGTTATAATAGAAGCCTCCAAATCGAATCCGGCTTCTCCTAGAAGCAAACAACCGAAATCACCCAGTCATCAATTGCCCGATAAGGCAACCAACGAACAGCCAACCGAATATATGGAAATGTCGAGTGGTTCAGACCGTGAAAATACACCCGAGATTAAGAGTAAAACTATCGAAACTCGGGCGATAACAAATCTCAATTACATCAGTGTAGAGATAGAAGATGAAAATTCGTCTGACATCAGCAAGAACTTCGATTCTAACAAAACTTTTACGGGACCTGAGATAACTTCTAAAGAACTTTTGATTACCGAACCGCCTTATTATTCTTCCCAAGAGCAAAATAAAAATCATACGGCAGAGAATATCACAGATTCACCCTATCAAACTGATAAGTTCAGTCATGAATGCTCACAACTTTTGGAAAATTGTTCAGATACTGCAGCCTCCGCCAATGATTACGTATTACAACCGTCTAATATACCCGTAATGCATGCTAACTCTGTCACAGACGGAGATGATGGTAACTATTTAACACAGCCTTCGAATATACCGGTAGAAGAGGACGTTTTACAAAGTTGCCGTCAAAATTTGTCACGGGTCGGTTCTTCATCACGTTTGGCATGCCAGCAACCAACTTATGGAACTTTAAAACGTACTGGCTCAAACGCTTCTAGTGGTGCCCGTTCGACTGTAGACGATGAATTGGCAGAAATTATGCATGATTTTAAAAACAACGTCCTGTCCATACGAGAGGTTGAGGTATTAGTAGAGAAATGGAAACATCGGAACGATGTACAACAAAGTTTCCGTGAGAAACAAGAACAAATTGATCAGTTGCGCAAAGAATACGAGCGCATACAAGATCAAATGCGAACTCATTTAAAACGTGACACGCCTTTCGATAAATTTAAAAAACTGTTTTCCCGTCACAAATCCTCATCAAGCTTAGGACACGAGAAGAACTCTTGTATAGACGGAATGCTGGATGAAACCAAATCCTCCATTACTACCACGTCCAGTTTCAAGTCATCGGCAAGACCTATTAGCTCATTAAGTTTACAATCGGTTTCTTCTTCAAGCTCATCAGGACGTCTAAGTACTGGCAGTAACTGCAGCGGTACCTCCTTGGGTGACTCCGGTACCCATTCAGATCATGAAGAACGTCGATTTGGGTGTCGTTTAGGTTCTCCCGGTACATTAACAGATAACTACTTAGTACCACCACCACCAAGACCAATATTTACACCTAACTCTACACCAGGCGATGAACGACATCAAATTGTCTTTCCCTCGCCCATGTCTTCGTGTACGCGTCTCAATTCCCCTACCAGTCCATTGGGTAACGAACACTACCAAATGTTTCCCTCCAATATACCGGTTTACAACAGCCAGAGCACAAACAATTCCCAGAACAGTAACAGTAACTATTTGAATACAATAATGGAAGCAAATCACGAACCTGATCATAATTACCAAAATCAAAGCAACGTTACCTTGCAACCGATAAAATTAAATGAAAAGTCGAATATAATCTACGGGAAATTGAATAAAATCACACCCACTTGCAGTTCTTTTAAGCCGGCTACGGCAACACAAAAAGCTGAATCTCGAAACGGTTGTATCGAAGTACAGGCTGAGGTCTATCAGAATGTCGGGAGCAATTTAAACAAATGCTTAGAGGAGGCCGAGAAAGCTAACGGCAAGGAAGCCTCAAAGACAACAGAAGATGCTCAGATTGACCCAGGAAGTGATAGTCACAATTACATAAATTGTTAGGAAATTCCGATGCAAAATATTCCGAGGAGAAGAAGTACGACAGAATTTGAAAAAACTCATAGAACGAAGAAATGATGACGTCAATAGGTGGACGGAGTTCCTGAAGGAATTCATAAATTATGTACATATTATTCGTAAGCGTAAAATTCCGAGTCAATTAGGCTGCGTTCGTTCGTTTTTTGTCTCAATCATTTGCCTGCGAGAATGTTCCGAATTCGGATCTTTAGATGAAGTTAAGAAACAGATGGGATTCCCCTCCACACAACGAAGTGAAGACAACTTGACAACTTACAGCAAATTTCGAATTTTATGATTATGTCAATTTACTTGAGATAGAAATAATGAAGAACAGAGAGAGAAATAGTTTAAAGTCAAGCATAATTTTCTTCCTTTAGTTTAAAGTCCTTATTTCATTTTAATATTTTTGTATAATTATTTTAATTGTTGTAAGTAAATGTTTTAAAGCATTTCAATGAGTATAAACTAGTTAATGTTTAATTAAAAATTAATTAATTGCAAAAAAAGATACGAGTAAAAGTTAAGAAAATATGTTATGAAAATATGTAATAAACACACTTTTTAAATATATGAAGACTGCGCATAAGAGGAAAGTATAACAACATAGATAATAGCAAGCACTCTTTTGAAACGTTAATGTGTAATTAAAAATTAAAAAAATTAAAAAAAAAAATAAAATAAATTAACCATTATAAGAAGGGTATATTTTCTACGGCACAACCAAATATATTCAAACATATCATATTTTTATTTACCTGCAATATATAAGGAGTAAATAAAACTAGCTTTACATACATATTCATAATAATTTGCAATAAAGAAAAAAATATTTATTGCATCTATAGTTTGCTGTTAACTCTAAAATTTTTATTCAAATTATTTGTATTTTATGCTGCTTACCTTCTAAAAAGAAGTTCTTCAAAATGAACTGATATTTTTTGACTTATAACTTGGCGAGTACGACATACGACTGGCGCAAAGCGCGCAGTGTCAACATAGTTATGCAATTATTGCAAATTAAACTTAGTAGACTGGTAGTCCGATCATCCGGCCTAATGGGAGGATGCCTTTGTACCAGAAAAAAAAAAAAAAAAATGGGAGGGAAACGGAAATTCTACACAACTTTTCCTAATTTCGCATTTTATACAAAAGTGAACTAAGCGAACTGAATCCCCTACAATTGTGCTTAATGGCAAAAGGCGCGCCCTTCGAAGTCGACATTCGACAGCTCGTGAGTCTCAGTCTAAGTAAAACCGGCTTCTTAAATCATACGGACAAAAAAAACAATTGGTTTTTAATGAAATTAAAAAATCAGTTCATTCACGGGCATTCATATGTTCGACGCAGCGAAACGAACCAACCATCGATTTTGTACAATACTGTTAGCTTGTATTATAATCATTTAATATTATTTCCAAATTAAATTTAAATCAACGTCAGTTAAATTTTATAAAAATAACTAGCGTTTAACTTAAGTTTATTTTAATATCTCTTTCTTACGATAGTTTTAAACAAGCAACGCGTATGCTCTCCTGTAATGCCTTAAATATGAGTTTTTTCCTTTTAATGTTTTTACCCAAATAAAAAGAACTAAAAAAACCAAATGAGACCAAAGTTTTGGAAAATGCTATGAATACATATTTCTCTAAATTTCTTGTCACATTCGCAGCAGCAATAACATAAGGATCGATAAGTCTTATAACACTTATTTCGTTCCAAGAACACTCCATACGTTAAGCGGTTTTAAAAAAACTGCTTCGAGGACTGCATTGCAGTTAGGTTTGGATAAGTCTGAAGTGCAGGGAAAACACACATAATCTAGTTAATCCTTACCAGGCAAAAGCGAGTACCAGCACAAGTACGAATGCAACCAACTTCTTCTCATTGAATGATAATCCAAGTTCTTTATATTGGCTCATGTAAGGAACAAATTGTATGCAGACGTGTTTCGAGTGAGAGGAGACAGAGCATATATTTAAAAGCCATGCTCTGGAGATGTCTGATTAATTGCGAGAAAATAGTGTCACGAAACTAATCATCTGATCAAACAATCGATTTTCACTGACCATATTTCAAAAGACATTAAAACAAATTCCGCAGCCAAGCATTGTTTTTTTCGAGTAGTTGGTTACATTTCATTTTAAGAAGAAACATTGCGTCGCTTAATATCTAAGGAACTCAGACCATATGAATGGATTGGGTGCTGGTGCTATTTGAAGTGTCGAGAAAGAGTTAGAGCCCATCGGCCTGTTCAACTCCTCTATCACACCTGGAATTTACAAACACACTTCTGCCTCAAGTTTTCATCATTCATCTGACTGAATAATATTCACTTGCAGGCATTATTTTAATGCCACGAAATGAAAAACACAGACAGAAATGTGGAAACAGTCGTCTTTTCATTAGTTTCTATAAAAACTGAACTGGAATTTCGTGTAAATGTTAACAAAGCAAATGCTTTATGATTAATCGGAGACGCACTTAATTTGTTTGCCCTGCGGTGAGGTGAACACGTCTTTTTTACTTATATTCTTATCATTTACTGAACATAATGCCGGTAAAGCTTTAAATCATATGAGAACTTTTTTGTACTTTCGCTATGATGGCATGGATGTAAACAATACTCTTCCTTTCAATACTGCTTTGCACTTATTTTTTACAATTTCATTTCTTTTATCCCAAAAAAAAATAAAAAAGAAAAGAATTTCATAAACACGTTTTTTCAGTTTTCCCACATTGCATGAAAATGACTTTGCAACGGAAATATTTGCACTCCCATCGGGTTTCCGGTGTTACCGTGATATATACAAATATCAGCTGTATCTCTTCAAACCAAAAAAAAAAAAAAAAACAAAAAAAACAAAAAAAAAAGAGAGACGCATCGCTTGTACATACAAGATTAGAGAGAGCTTTTACGCATAAACGTCTACGATGATGAAGATAGAGCAGAGGAGAGAGAAAAACAATTTCATTCGCACAGGGCAACTCAAACCGTATTTTAATAATAAGCAATTAGTAACGAAAACTTGAAATTTTCCGAAAGCATAATATTTGGGGTCAGATAAAAAAAAAACTTTACTCAACCGCCATGTAAAACGGATGGTCGAAGCGGTTTTTAGTTTTTCAAAGCGTAAAGAGCCTTCTTGAGCAATTGCTTGGTAGGAAAAGGTCTTCATGCCATATAAAGTCTGCTCCTTTTATTAGGGACAAAATAGAGAAAGAAATGTGTTTGATGATCACACATGAATATAAAATTAGATATCTGACATACTATAACGTTGGCCAGTCCGAGATGGCAGCAAGTGCCGTGCTTCTTAGCAGATGTGTAAAAATTCCGAAATTCTTTTAAAGCAATTTAAGGCACCCAGTGTTGGTAAGCTGAAGCGAAGCACTCTCCTACTTTCTCTTTTGCCTCTCCATCAATATGCACAACATTTTGTAGAAAACTTGAACTACATAATAGTTTTCATTATCAATCAATTAAGTACCCTTTACGTAAGATTCGCTTATATATTGGTTTTAATTTGTGGAACTTTTTTCTTTCACAAAAATTTTCATTTTCATGTTTATCTCTATCGCTCTCTCTCTCTCTCTCTTTCTCTCTCTTCTCTTGTTTTTTTTTTTTTTTGTTACCTTTACCTTTATTCAACCCTTTCGTCCAACACTATATGCGGTTTTTCGCAAGTTTGTAAGCGCAATACAAAGCCCATTGAGAATTCATAGAATAAAAAGAAAATCGCATATAGTATAGTCAATGAGAAAGCTTTCTGTTTTCATATATATATATATATATATTTTTTTTTTTTTCAGTCCGTATGGGAAAGCTTATAAGCCGAAAACGAAGCGAACAAGTGTGTAGACAGGATATTTTAGTCTTCAAAGTGAATTTTACGTTAGAATGACATGAATCGGAGAATATTTTTGACGAAAATAATCAAAAATTTCAAACAGAAAACTTTATATAAAATATAATAATAAATTTCTATAAAAATGTGTCGTTCATTTATAATGAAACACGAAATAGCTTAAATCGGTATTTGCAGAGTCAACTAAAAAATCATTTTCGACGTAGAATACTTTATGAAAGTCTTTATGAAAGTTACTTTCGCACACACACTTGAAAAGGCAGAGGCAGTTTTAGAGGAAATACTACTAAAATACTACAATAATAAATGCATACTGACTTACTTACATACATTTAAAAATACATTGATATATATAACGGGGAAAGCATCTGACTTGCTGTCAGCAACACCAACGAACCAACAGCAGCTCTCACAATTGTAAACGGCGTCGTACGTTTTACGTTGAGTGTTTTTCGGCCACGTCTAAAAAAAATTTTTTTTTCTTCTACGTCGCAGATTATCTTTAGCCTTGCTTAAGTTCGTGTACATTGATTGTCTGCATTTTTCTCTGTTCAAACACTTTCTCATAAAAATGCAAAGAACAAATAGAATTTAAACAATTTACCATTTTGTTGCAAAGCGAGTACAAAAAAGGACAAGTATTAAAAGGCCTCGGATCGCGCAGGCTATATGCAAGCCTTTTTCACATGACAGCAAACCTCTTAATTAATTGATGAATATTTAAAAGATATCTTCGGTACGTGCAAAGTGAAAATAAAAACTTTCGTAACGCAAGATATCCATCCAATTATAATAATTTCAACTTACAACATACATAAAGCTTGTACTCATGTAATAATCGTGAAACATGTAAATTCATTTACCGGAGAGTCTTCTATACATGCAGTTAGAAACAATAAGCCACCGCTTTTTGATTATATTTATATACATACGTACACATTTTCTCAGGTAAGTATAACATTGAAGGCTGTCTACTTGCTATCTTATCCTAATTTTCTTGCCGCACCACGAAAAGTCATAAATTCAAAGGAAGGCAAAAGAACACAATGCACAAAAATTCTCAAGTGACTTATGCCCTTACGCCATCTCATAAGGAAACTTTATTTCAAATTGCACGCCGAAGACAATGCAGCAGCAGCAACTCGTGATCGTTAGACTTGCCACAAATTTCCTACAACGTTCTGATATTTTGTTCAGCATGCTATGACATATCTTACAATTTCTGACTATTGAACGTCGCCTCGTTTTGCAATCCAAATTCCTAACTACCATGTGCGAGAAATTAAAAGTCGTCCGAAATGGCTGTAAAGGTTGCAAACTTTCATCACGATGAGGTTGACTTTCCATTCGCGAAATTTTAAATGTAACGTACTTCCAAACACCTTGAAGCCCTGCCGGAACGATCGCTTAACGGAATTCTTAGTTCATTGGCATTAGATTATCATGCCGCTCCCTTGTTAGTAACATCAAAATAACGAATTCTATAAGTTGCATATATTTTGAGTCATTGACAAATTTTGATTGCGATGAGATTCTCAAAACGTCGAAAATAGAAGATAAGCTCAGAGAGATATATGGCTCTTTCTTTATGAAACTCATTTGCACTCAGAACCGGAGTTTTGTTTGCAAAAAAAAGGAAAATAGTCAAGAAAAACAATTTTGAATAGGCTCAGAAATTGCATCAGCCCATCGGTTCTTGCAACATATCAGACGAATAAGTCATAATAGCATGACCTATAAATAATCTTGGAAAGGAAGAAAAACTCTTCATCTAATTTTTGAGTTGTTCCTCAGCGTAATGATGATGAGTTTAATATTTGATCGGTATTGTGTCAGTAAAGAATTCTCCATCCATCCACACATACACATATTTATTATCGTTTTTTTCAATATTAATCACAAAACACAAACACACTGCAGACAAGCACATTTCTTTTATTAATTGAAACGTTCGCGGAGAAAGAGTAATCTTTAAAGACAATACTGCAATGCCCCTCAGTATTTTAGCGCTTTTCCATTGTGCTTCATTGAATTTACGATGCACGCTTTTAGTCGCTACAGATAATACCATATGTTTCGCATAGTTCTTTATAGCTGCTCTTTGCGATTTTTATTTGCTATAAAAAGCCATCAATAGTTGTTAACAGAGCAAAAACCAACTATGAACTCTCGGAGAGGAACATAAACGTTGCATTTGAATCTTTGAATATCATTCATCATTAAACACCTGTGCTTGTGATAATAAAAATCATTTGAGGGTCAGAAGTCATCCAGATGACAAATGATGACAAAAATCCGCTCCATATTTCAATACACTCATTATTAGCCTTTTACGTCGTCGTCTTCAACTAATTCACCAATCGTTTCATATATGCGTCACCTTTCACTTCGCAGAAATGCGAATGAATAACTTTCCGTATAATCTAAACACCTTTTCAATTTTAGTGGATTATTGGATCGCCTTGGCGAACGTAAGCGGCAGCTAGCTGACACATTTTGAAAAGATTAAAACCAATATTTTCACACGTTTTGAATACCGCTACTCAAGATAAGCTAATGGTAGCAAAAATTCAACGTCTTCACGTAACGGTAGACGTTCCGAATCGAGTAACCGAACCTTGGCTTATCTCCACAATTTTTTTTATCGAGCACTTATGTGTCATAGCATTCATGTTTTTAGCGAGGATATTCCATCCATCCACAAAATGATTTTGAGCTCCGGGAAAATATCCTTTCAAAAATTATTTAACCTTTCAAGAATATTGAATACGAAAATCTACGGTGTATACATAAAATGCCTTTTCGCGGAATTTCAATCTCATTATTGAGATAAAACATTATTCAGACAAATTAGATTCGTTCTTATTCTAAGAAATATATCGTGTGTTCGCAATTCAAAAAATTTATTTAATACATTAAAAAAAGTTTCTTGAATATTATATTTGGTAAGCGATTAAATGCGTGAAAACCGTTGAAAGAAACAAATCGATAAATAGCATGAAAGATGTGTACATCTGTGTGCTTAAGAAATATTTAAATCTTCCGGTTCAAAAACTCGATCCTGAAGCTGCGTGTTAAAGTGCATTTTTAAGTACAACAGTATACATGAGTGGCTCTGCTTTTCTAGCAATGTAAACAAAGCGCGTACATCGTAGAACAAAAGGAATAAAGTAACCAAGAAAGCGTAATGGCTGCAGTTGACATAACGTTAGTTGGCTGGCGTTATAAGACATTTAAGGCACATGTTAGAAATGTAAATTAAAATAAAAAAAGAAACGTTTGTATGCGTGCATACGTATACATACATACCTATAAATATGTATATATCTGCGTATGTCATTGAATTTGTCGGTTAAAAAAAGTATGTAAAACGAATTTTAATGTGTGCGAACTTTGAATCGCTAAAAAATTTTAATTTAACCAAGAAACGGTCTTCATACGCATACGTTGCGGCAAAGAGTGGTTAGCGTTCGCAAAAACTCCAAGTATGTAGCGAAGCAGGGATTAAGTGGTTGTTTCTACTTTGATGAACAGACGCTGAGGTAGCATTAAGAGTTGAGAATGTGCACAAGTATATGAATCTCCCTCTGTGTACTCTTAAAAGGCCTCTGTGTTTATACACAAAAAACCAAATGATATTTAACGCCCACAAAGCATCTTTCAGTACGAAATTCCTCTCTGCCGCAATACAAGTCCTTTTGATTGTCAAAAAAGAAAAGTTGAAAAACTAACAACTAGAACAAGTAAGAAAATTATATTCGATCATGATCGAATCTTTTATACCCACCACTGCTATCCTTTAAAAAACAAACTAAAGAGAAGGAAAAAACTAAATTTTCATACTCTATAATACAGGGTGTAAGCGGCTGATTTTTCCAATTTTTAAAATAAAAGTGGAAAGTTGTAGGGTGTGTAAGCGTTGTACTTGGTGAGTAACGGAAAGCAAAGATGTTCACTATTTTTGTTGCATAGGCATATTGGCGTAGTGTAGGTGTGTCCTTTGAAAAGTTTAGGTCACTTCCAAATTCCTTTGCAAACTTGTAGGCGCTACCTTAATTTTCGCTAATCGAAGAATGTTTACCACAGACACTACACACCAGAGTAGACGAACAAGAGGACAGATAGATGGACGGACACAGAATAAATCGGAACGAACTTTTTATGTTTCTGCCACATTTGAACTCCGTTAGCTTCGATTTTGCGGCCAGGAGAATGCTTACAACAAACATTACGCAGACAGACAGAGGGGCATACTAAAAATGATTGAGAATTTGAGCCTAAAGAAGAATAAAAGAAAAAGTGGTCCGATGCAAACCATTCGCAATAAGGTCGGCTCTTGGGACAAAACATGTAGGCGTACCAAATTTCATCAAAGTATCTCGAAAATTACGGCCCGCAAGATGAAAACAAAAAAACAAGGACAGACGGTCAGACAACCCTAGATCAATTCGGAGCCATATCTGTTCGTCTGTCCGTCTCGTCTTCATCGGGATGTGTAATAAAAAGTGAGTCTATCTCAAGTCTTTCTGGATGTTGCATACAATCGTGCAAGTTTAATATACCCCTGCACCATAAGTGATGGAGGGCGAAAAAAACAAAAAAACATTGTAACAAGACTTTGTGTTTATTGGAATAGTGAGGGCAGTGTGCGCAAACCCTCCATCCATGCCTATGCACAGAAGCTCTTCAAAAATTTCATACAGCTATTAATTCCTCGGGATAGGTTTGTAAAGGAATATTGGTATCTGCTTGAGGGCTTAAAAGGATTTCGAAAGGTGGGCAGAAGAGTTCAATTCCACTTTTTTTCCTCCACAAACGTATTACTTCTCTTATGTAACGGCTTCTTTATAATGTCACGATAGTGTTCACAGTGCTATAGTACATCACTTTATTGAAATATGGATAAGTATTTTATACACAATGTAATTTTTAATTACCACTTGTGCTACTATTAACGTCGTACATCCGTAAGTAGTAAAAAATCCGTAAGTGTACACACGACAATAGCAGCACTTGTTTTCCTTTCGTTTTTACTTACGACAGCACTTATTTCAATATTTCATTTTGTCATGTTTTTTCAATTATCATAACAAACATAGAGAATATGTAACAATTGTGAATATAATGTGAATACATATATAAGAAAAGATCAAAATAATTATAAATTTCCGTCTAAACTTTGGGGAAATTACGGCAATTATTTAAATCAGACTTCAACCTAAATCAGGATAAAGTTCGCATAGTTTCTCTTCTCCAGTTATTGTTGTGTTATGATAACACAAGAGGCTAACAATAAGTTTGCCTGAAGTCGTTAATACCTTCAGCCCATATCCTATAATTGACTGGTGAGAACAAAAATTCTGTCATACATCATAATTTTCCTATCTTCTCTCTACCTATCACTGCAAGCAAGTGTTCGTATTCTTAGAGTAGTGAAAGTTCGGATAAAGTTCTCAAATTTGGAAATTTACCTGATGAGCGCAAAAAGACATTATTTAAAGTAAATTCTTTACAAAATATTGGAATGGCCTAAGAGGCATTGCACATAGTTGCCTGTCTGATGTCTTCTTATCTATTTATGTATTTTTTACAACTTAGTTGCCTCAACTGTTTTATAGAACGAGTAAGACTATATATTAACGATATTTATAAGCATCGTTTGTCAACATCCTGAAGATAGCCTCAAAGGTTCCATAAAGTGAACATCGTCCTCGTTAGTATCAATCTTAGAATCGATTGCGACATATATGTCCCTCTACCTGTCCACCTATGCGTGGCAAACACTATTCTGTTTTCAAGAATTTAAATACCGCAAGACTTGAACTTTAACAGGAACATTTGACCTAAGTTGCTGTTGAAAATGAATGGAACAGATTAAAAGATACGCCCAGTACAACATAAACTGTGAAAAATCTTTGTTATCGAAAGTAAAAAAAAAGTCGATTTAC